TTATTATTATTATTATTATTATTATTATTGGATTCGTAGGGCCGCCCATCCCCTCTAAGCCACTCTGGGCGGCCATAATAGTCATCTGCTTTTGCCCTTTGCAGAGCAACGCCCGTTGATAAGTCATCCAGCTTGATTGTGCCAGCTTTGCCAACCTTCTTTTTGTATCTTTTCAGGTCTTTACAGTTGGGCGATCGTAATTATCGTGGATCCCGTTGGAAAGAAGTAGGACTGGGACAGAAGCAGCAGAGGGTTTCCAAGCCAGAGGGGAAACCTTTCGCTTTGGGCGTGGCGCGTCCTGCGACCCACCGAGAGAGGACAGAACCGTTGCAGCGTTTTACCTTCCTTGGAACGCGGATGCTGCTGGAGTCTTTTTTCCACTTTCCTGCATGAAAATGGTCAGCAATGATGGCTGTGCTGGACAATCATCCCTAAGAAGGATGGGGGCCTGATTGCATTCAATAAATGGAATATCCTATCTAGCCAATTTTGTTGTAAATCATGCTTGTTGGGTGAATAGAAAAAAAATCTCTAATTTTGCTGCAGTGGGGGGTCTTCTCTCTCCCTGTACAGAACATGAACCTGCTCGTCACCAGAGAACATGGCCCCTAGCTTTAAACCTGAGATCCCCACTGGATAATTTGAGACCACAGCTCCCAGTTGTTGTGGGAATCATAGTCCAAGTACCGGGCAAGTTTTCAGCTACAATCCAGCCTCCTTATTCAGAGGCAGTTGACCTCACAGTGCCAGCTGTTGAGGACCCACAACTCTGGGTGGGTGTGAGAGTGAGTTTGGGAGGGGTAGCCTGCTAGCAGGTAGGACCCAGCCATCAAGCTCCTCCTCTCATTCCTCCAGCAATAAAGAAAATCACATAGGGCAAGCCAGAGTGAAGAGGTTTTATTCAGGCCGGCATCGGGGGGGTGTCCAGGTGCAAACGCTGGTTCCTCTCCAACTCTTCCACCCACATATTGTCTGTTTCTGTACCCCTGGGTTAAGGGCTGCTGCTGCTTCAGAGTCTCGGGGGGGCTGGTGCTCTACGGTGGCCCCCAGTGACTAAAGGCTAGATCAGCCTCCAACAACCGGCGCGAGGGAGGGAAAGCCAGACGACGGAAGTCAGCAGGAGGAGAGCCGTTCAGCTATTCCCCTTCTTGGCCACGATCAACACAGCTGAAGGCACCAACCCTGAAGAGAGAGGGGGGAAAAAAGATTAATGGGGGAAAGAATGGAGAATCCAGGGGGAGCATTTGATAACTAAGGGGCTTTGGAGAGCGAATCTGACCTATTTCCATTTTCACAGCTTGCTGGGGGAGAGAGACACTCCAGAGGAGTGAGGCTAGAATGAGTTTTGCTTTTATTTATTAGATTTATATCCCACTTTAAAAAAACTCAAAGTGGTACACATAATGGTCCCAACTCCTATTTTCCCTACAACAACAACCCTGTGAGGTGGGTTGGGCTGAGAGAGTGACTGGCCTAAAGTCGCCCAGCCAGCTTCTGTGCCTAAGGGAGAACTAGAACTCAGAGTCCTCTGGTTTCTAATCCAGTTCCTGAACCCCTACCCCAAATTGGCTCTCAGTTTCCTTTGCCATTATTAATTTTGCAATCCTAGAAGGGAAGTTTGGATATTTAGTGATCTATCCTCATTCTCTCTTGCCTAGGGTTTGTATATTTGTTTTTTTAGCGTATCTATTTATCATAGTTATCCTATTTATCTTTTAACAGTGATTTTTATATCTTTATATTGAATGTTTATGTATATGCTGTTTTTATTGGACTGTTGCAAGCCGCCCAGAGTCACTGTCCTGTGAGATGGGCGGCTATACAAATTGGATTAATTAATAAATAAATAAAATACCGGAGCTCCTCTGCGGGAAAGGATTAAGTTGCCCACGCTTGCTTGCCCAAGCAAGGCTGGCTGGGGAATTCTGGGAGTTGAAAGTCCACATGTCTTCAAGTTGCCAAGGATGAGAAACACTGAGCTAAAGTCAAGCTCCGTGCCATACTGTGGTTTCTCTGCGCAGAGGCCGAATTGAAGCGCAAGCCTGATTTCTTTATTCCAGAAAACCACAGTTTGAGCTTGCCATGCTCTTAAGGGTGCAAGAGGTCTGTGCTCTTAGGCGTAAGAACTGGACACATTCCATGCTCTGCCTCTTTCCAACCGGCTGCTTCTCCCGGACTATCAGCGCAAACCTCTCTGTGGCTGGCTCAGCTCCCTCCCCTTGGCTCCCAAACTCACCCAACTCTTGCAGAGGCTTCTCCATGTCCTCCTCGGTGAAGACGCGCCGGGGAAAACTCGTCAGGAGGTTAAAAGGATCTTCGCCGCCGTCTTTGCGGTTCAGTTCCACGTAAAGCCGCACGGCTGCCAGTTGCTCCTTGGCTTTGAAGGTGTGAGTCAAGGAAGTCCCATCCAGGAGCCTCACCTGTCAAAGCAAAGCCAGCTGAGAAACAGCCCCCTTGGGCTGCCGGAGGGATTCCAAGCCCCTTCCTGCATGTGCAACCAATTGTTGTTTAGCCTCGGGATACGTCCTTTCAGGGGGTGACAGATCAGCTCTTAAAACGAGGTTGGAATTGGCCTGCTTATTTATTGCTGACCGGAAATCCCTTACAGACTTTTTGCATGAAACAGAAAACAAAATGAACTTACAATTTACAGTTTGGATAATTAGGACAGATTATAGAAAGAAGAGAGGAATGTTGTAACCATAGAGCAGTGTTTCTCAACCTTGGCTGCTTGAAGATGGGTGGACTTCAACTCCCAGAATTCTCCAGCCAGCT